CGCAGTGGCGGTGGTCTGAGCGACACTGCAACTGTTATGGACAGGCGTGTAACTTGCCATCAAGCGCACGACTAGTTCGTCCCGTCGCTGATATTATAAAAAAAAAGAAAAAGCTAAAGCCCATGCGGCTCTGCTCTGCAAACAGCTATAAAACCTTACATTTAGTAACCTCTATAATACTAGTACCACATAAGTTAAAGACCCCCATGAGAAATGCCTGGCCACATGCTTACCCGTCGCACTAAATTGCTCGCAGTTAATTCTGTACTCAATTAGTGTGCCTGAGTGGTTGGACTACTAGCATTTAACTCGTATAAAATCTGAGACTCAAGTACTGTTGCACCCGGTCCCGTCGGGATGGATGTTGATTGTGTAGTCTAACGACATTTTTTCACCTGTGTTCAAACTTCAATATTGAAGTTTTGTAATATGAATTGTATGCTACATATCTGACTTAGTTTCAGTTTTTCTTTAAAAGTATACTTAATCCTGGTGGTCTTTGATGTCTATTATTACTAATATAGCACCCACGAACCAAATAAATAGCACCCCATCAAATGCGGCTTTGTATCGATCTGGCTGCCTCAGATCTTCTAAGAAGATGTTTCGGCCTCTGTTTAAAACCCACTGTATTGGTTTGATAGTAGTTTGTTGAATTGACTACAAGACTTCCAAGTAAGATACTCGTTAACTTAAAAACAACATTAACGATACACATTACTTAGTAATGTATACGTAATTTAATACAGCAACGAACCTCTTCGTTTTTTCTTAATATCTAACTTAACGAGTCTAACGTTGTATGCAATTACATCACTTTATGTGCAGTAGCTAGTCACGATTTGCGACACGCTCCACCGCTCCGGTTCCATACCTCCGGCAGGAGGACGAGAGTGAATCATAAGCAGTCTTTTTACATTGATATCTGCGCATTGTTTACTTATTTAATGCCACAAGTAAACCGTCAATATTGCACTTTAAAATTGAACGACGCATAAGTCGTGTTCAAATTGTGCAATATCACTGTTTGAAATACACTTTTTATGACCGTGTGTTCAATCATTTCGCGACTAAGACATCATTCAAATAAAATGAAATTTGTGAACACTTTGAATAGTTTTTCTTTTGTAAATGCAAATCAGTTAACAAGTACGTAGAATAGGACCTAAATACGATGCAAATGTTTCAAATTGCAATGCACTAACCTAAATTCACGTGAACAAACTTCATAAGCAAGAAGCAGGTTTAAATACCGAGGTAGCATAGCATTCCAATGGTTATGTCCAATATAGTGTGTCCATTACATAATTATGCACACAGTTGTTGGTCACGACACGCGACTTGCTCCGTCAAGCGTTTGTTCCAAGTCATCACCATGCAGAGTGAATCACACTTACTTCATAGCGATAATACATATTGTTCCAAACACGCATATTGGGAACTACTCATGATTTCCAGAGGATTGTTAAAGTGTTAAAGTCTATTATTAATCAATGTTTAATGTTATATGGAACTAAAGTTTACAAACATCTTATCTTAATGACCATTAAATATAAAAATGATCATAAATAGTACCGTAATTAATACTCCAAATGGCACAATTTTGCAACTTAGGTGCTCTTTAAAATTGTTAGATTTCTATATTGGATCTTCGTTCAAAGAAAATTAAACTTTATCATAGTTTAAATTTTTATTGAATTGATATTCCATAATTTTTTATGTGAAATTACTCCACTAGGTCGTCATAATTATTAATATAAAGATCGAACACTTAGAATAATTTCCTTCGATCGGGCCGGATTCGAACCGACATCTTTTAGCAAACCATGCCAGACGCTATGCCAACTAAGCAACGGAACGAACCAGCGGACCTCACGAATGTTTCTGTGTGGTTGTTGTCGTATTTTTGTAGATGATTTTTCAACTACTTTTTAGCCGTAGCGACATCTATGAGAAATCAATTAAAGTATTTCGTCACCCAGTTAGATATCTTTATAGCTACTAGCCCCGGCTAGAGATGTTGCTATTCACTGTATTTAAATTTTTGTTGAGTTGATATTCAATTATTTTTTTATGTGAAATTACTCCACTAGTTTGTTATAATCATTAATACAAAGATCGAACACTTAGAAAAAATTCCTTCGATCCGGCCGGATTCGAACCGACGTCTTCTAGCATACCGTACCAGACGCTATGCAAACTAAGCATGCTTACTTGCATATAATTTTATCATAGTTATTTATTATACTTATATATTTTATAAATCTTATTATTATGTTAACGATTTGAAGTTTTTTAAATTCCGCTATTTAGTTTTCTCTTCTAGAAAATTGTAAGTATTTTGCCTATGCGGTAATTTCTTTGTGGTTTCCTATTATTGTTCGCACAGTTTGCAAGATACTGCTTCTAAGCAACACAACTTTCTACTTTGTTATTTCGAACTGTGATATCAAAACTATATTTTTAGAAATCTTGCTTGAAAAGTCATTCTACATTGTTCCGTTAAATCTGCTTTGGATGAGAGTACTACACACTCAAGAAATATTTTTAAAATATAAGTTGAAATACGTGAAATACATACAAAAAGCAATTTGGATGCACACGGTAAGACTGCACGCCGGCTGTATGCAGTTAGGGCAACTGCATCCAAACCGCTTTCCGAATGCATTCCAAATGCTATTTAACCGAATTCAAAAAAAGAGTAGGTCGTCAATTCTACTGTATTTTTGTGTGTGAACCGATTGCGGTGATTTTTTTTTGTTAAAAAAGAGCGTGCCCCAACGGTAGTCCCATTCTAATTAGAAGAAAATAATCCGGTTTATTGGATTTCACTCACTGTCAGCTAACCGATTGCAATAAAACTTGGCAAATAGATGTAATTCCACAAATTTTTGAGGTCGGTTCTTTCTAATTGTGATGCTGTCGTACCAATTGCATTTAAATGCTTTTCGAATGCATTTAAAATGCGATTTTGCAATTGTAATACATTCGGAATAAAGCTCATTGTACTACGCACTTACCTACTTAATACTTAAATCCTTTTAATACTTTTCCTTTTTAATAATATCACGTCACGGAACGAACAAGTCGTGAGCCTGATGGTCAGCTACACGCTGTCCCTAACAGTTACAGTGCCACTCAGAGCTTTAAATTGCAAAGATCTGTCACCCTGAGCATAAGTCGACAAGTCCCATGTGCATGTATTTTCACCAGCACTCTTACGCTTCAAAACCGGAACACAGTAATGCTGACATTACTTCTTGGCGGCAGAAATGGGTATATAATAGGGTAGGCAGTACATCCCTGGACTAACTCTTTCATAAGGAGCTCTACTGCTCCTAAACCTACGTAAACGTACCTATCGTTCTACAACTAACAACTGTTGTTTTGTTTATTAACAATATTAAGCGTACAATCAAGTTGACTGACAGTAAAGTTTAAAATCAATGCAAATCGTAAACAAGAGCTGTCTGCATTATTCATGAAGTTAAATATCAAATGCATTGTGTTTAATCGTTTGTAGGAATTGCAGGTCTTACTTCGTATACAGAATTACAATAAAGGTTTTATATATTGTCTTATATAATTTAGTGAGTTTTGCATTACGCTATTGTGTTGTGTTTTATAAGAAATCTTTTGTTATTTCCTCCCTGGCCTCTGCCTGTCTGGCAACTGTGGCTGAACAGTTACCATGCTGGTCTGCCACGCAGAGGTCCCGGACTCGATTCCTGGGCCGGGAGAAATATTCGTATGGCCTACATTTATTTCTCTCGTGAGTATGGGTCTAATTTGTAATTATCTATCCATATGTGTGTCCATGGCACTGGCGACACAGGGCTTTCATAATGCGCGGAGCTATGAGTGTGTGCGTTATTTATTATTCCTAATAATAATATGCTTTGATTTAAGTAACTATGTTTTACACTCAAAACGGTAAACTAATCGGTTTTTCCTGCAACTAAGTAAAGGAAAAATAAGTACCTATAATTCTGGTAAAGACGTTTTATGTGTCCCATATTCTTTTGCAAATTAGATTTTTGACCCTCATAATTGCTAAAATAGTCATATAATGAATCGATAAATCTACTATAGTTGCAACCTCAATGTTATCGACGTCATGTAAATGCCATTTTATACGTGCTGTCGTGATTACATTAGATTTAATGTACTACGTCAAGTTGTAATACTAATGCACTAATTTAAAATTTTCTCACCGCAAAGTTAATTTTGTGGTACTAGCTTATTGTACGCACAGTACAGAGCCTCGCCAACCTTGTGGCCGCCTCTGCAAATTGTCACAAATAGACCATTACACATGTTTTAAACGTACATATTTAACACGCATGGATTTCATCAAAAAGGTTGAATTATATTGTTTCAGTTTCTGTTACAGTTGACTAAATACATTCAAAAACGCTACATGAATGAGTGATAAAATTAAATTTTACTAAATAAATGGTCAAATTTTCCTCAGCTAAGAGAATAGACTATTATAAATGTGTAAAGTAGCTTCTGACCCAGATAATGGGCAACGAAACCAAGCTCTCAATTATCTTTCACTGCCCTACCGGTTTTCTTAATGAAAGGGCTATTATCATAGAGCTTGATTAAATTCACTTTACCGTTAAACGCTAAAAGTGTTTGCATTCTGTGCTATAATTTTTCATTCGTCGGTTTCCTTAGACACTGACTGACTGTTCCGTTCACTTTGAACTTGAAAGCGTAACCAGCGAATTCCAGTCACGTAAAACTGTTTGTTGAAATAACGAAGAAGCGATTTTGTTGTGAAACGCTCCACTAAAGCAAAATTCTCGCAGGCTTAGATAAGGAATGATCTATTAAGCTTGGGTATGTCCTTTGTACCAAAATGTATTAAGACGGTTTAGTAAGACGTAATTTATAGCTTTTCGTTACGGTCTGCTAGTTGATTATTTGGCTCTAGATTTTGAAATACATTGGAACTATTTGAGACGTTGAAATGTTGTTTGGTTTGTCCACAGATGATGAGGTGTAACAAGTGGTAGAGGCCACCCGACATGAATTCGGACGTTCATCGTCATCAAGCGCATCCACCGCTCTCACAGGTTTGTATTTATTTGAAATGTACTTGCCTACTGCACATTGCAATTCCCCAATCCTTCCTTCTTTAGTAGATTAGAACGTATAATATAATGCTTTAAATCATAGGTTCCCAAGCTTTTTGGCACACCGCCCACTTGGCAAGATAAAAAAATTTCAACGTCCACCACCCCAAAAAATAATTGAAAATACGTATTTTTTTATATTAACTTAACACAAAAAATGACAAGGAAAAAATATATCCATATAGTGTAGTTTAAATAGATAATTCTGTTTTTTATTCCTTTCAAATGGTAGCTCCTCCTGGACTGTAGCAACGCCCACCACCCAATTGCTGCAGCCTCGGAGGCTTTTACCGCCGCACTAGGCACCATTAGTCGCGCTTTAATATACGGGTTAATTACAGTTCCATAGTCGTAACTTAATGATCTAACAATTATTATACAGGAAAATGGGGAGAGGAATACGAGATATGTATTTCAGTTCATTACGGCCGTTACAATTCAATACATTTTTATGAATTAGTAATATTGCAAGTAAATACCAATAAACGATTGATGTATAGTACAGCTGTAACGGGAAAATTATCGTTTTGTCGACTTATTTTGGTTTTGTAGGGTCGTTTTAAGTTTACATTTCAAGCCACATGTAGTACATTCCATGTTGATGTATCACAGATATATTATGTGTAGGTGCGGTCACACCTACACTTGACAACTATCTTCTTCCAACGCAGTATTCCCACCTATATTCCGTCTTTATTGTTGTTGCTGTTTCGGTTTTAACACCTACAATTATTTGTTGATCAATATCGAAAAAAAAAACAATATGTATGATTTGCTGTTTTTTTTGCACTCTGCCTTTAGATGACGAGTATTTTTTTTGTTTTAAGCCATCCTTATTGTTAAGTTAGAATTTACCATTATGATAATTTCAAAAATTGTAATAATACGTTAACCTTTAAATGTACAATATATGACTTCACAATATTCATTTAGTATTTATTGTCTAAATGAACACCACAATGAAAATGCAGAAATTCAGTAATTTCTGCATTTTCATTGTGGTGTTCATGAAGTAGTACAATATACGAATATAAATAAGAAACCATAATGCAAAATGGCACCTGCAGTTTTGGCGTTCGTCCAAGGTTGTGCGTTTCAATGGATCGTTATCTGTAGTAAAATATGGGAACTTTATATCTTTTGTTCAGAAACTACGATTCGTTATGGTATTACGATTACATGTGTGACCGCTGTTGATCGCTAGTAGTCGGGCTGCCCTCGATACGGAGCGTTAGTAGACAAGCGGTTTACTTTCCTCCAACACTTTACATTCACGATTCGTCTTCACGAAACGATTCTTGCGGTCACCATCGGCACGATCGGGTCTCAATAGAAGGAGGTCTCTCAATGGGGTTGATTTATCTGCTTTGCTAAAGTTTATTTCTCAAGACGTGTAAAATTTAAGGTATTTTGCGTGTCCTTGCGTTTTACGAGTAATTTATTCTCTCGTTTGTGTTGTACGTCGGCCGTATGCGTTTCCTTGGCAAGTTTGTCGCTGAATATTTTACAATATTTAAGAGCTTAACTGATAGATCATGTTTTACATCTTGCCAGTAAATAAACATGTTTTAAATCTTTACAAATTTAATTTCAAATATCGTTTTATACGCTTTTTACGCATAATTTTTTTATGAATACTTAATACACGATAGGACTGCGCTTATATGTTTAAACTACACCGGTCCCCGTCATCCTACGACAACTTTAAACGTCTTTCTTAATACCCTCGGAGTCATAACGATGACAATCATAACATTTACGTTTGTTTACAGCACGGCGTTCACGGCGGTGGGCAGGCGGTGGGCCCTTGCGGCTGGTACTCGGCCTCGGCGGCGCCTGCACCCACTGCACCCGCGCGGCTCAAACGAGCGCAGCCGCCACATCATTTACCGGTAGGCATCAATTTGAATGTCAAAATTTGTCGCTCTTTACAAACTAACGTATAGTGACAAAGCCGTAAGGAAGTTGTATGCATGTTGTTCTTATACTGGATACATATTGGTGAAATTACAGGCATATGGGACTTGTCAATTTATGTCTCAGGATGACGGGCGCAGTGGCAGTGCCCCTCAGATCCTTGCCATTTAAAGCTCTGAGTGGCACAGCAACTGTTATGGACAGGCGTGTAGCTTAGAATCAGACACACGACTCATTCGTTCCGTCACTTGATATTATATAAAAAAAAAGTATAATAAACTGGACATTCCGATCCGACAAAGGATGCCAAAGCAATACCGTGCGGCTTTCGTATAAATGTTCACATTACCGCAAATCACAGATTTAGCAAACGAACAAAGATATATTCAGCTGGAAATATATACGTAATCCGAGGCAAATAAAGCAATTTCAACGTTCAGACTTCGACCTCCACGTACTCGAATAATTTTCGAAACATTTCGCTGTAAGAATTGATTCTCTCCCTATTCTATGAATATTTTATGATAAAAATACTTATAGGTTACGCAAATTAGTGCGTTTCCAGTTTTATGAAATAGTGTAGTGAATGCAGGAAATTGTAATGAAATGACCTCCAAGGAAAGCGTGATTTGACAAATGATGTCCGCGTTACCTTGTAACCTTATTGAACGTTGAGGGTAACGCCAATTAACCTTGCCTTCGTCAAGGCTTAACAATATTTATACCCTTGAATTGAAAACTGTAATGTATTTTTATTTAAACCTTTATTTTTAAAGTAAAACCTCATTGTTTTTCTATTACTAGAAATGTTATTAGAAAAAGAGATAATGCGTGCGTCTCATTTATAGATCAAAAGAAAAGGACTATTCTTGTTCCCGGATTCGGGAAACAATTCAGTGCTATCAATGAACCACGATTTGCTTGAAGTTAATGTCGAACTTCAAAGTTTGAACTTTATGGTCGCCCAATTCGTTACTGGTGTATATTTTAGTGTAATATAATATAAGTAATAATAATAATATTGTGGATTTGTGAAATTAACTTTGCTTCGGTCGGTTAATGTATTTAAAATAAGCCAAATAACAGAGAAAAAAGAAAACGCATAATAATAAAGTACCACCACAGCAATCACTTGGTCTCAAACTAAGAATAAGGAATACCCAAACCAGAACCAATTTATAAAAAAAAAATTATGATTTCCAATTTGGTTCTACCGGAAATCGAACCTAGCACCTCCTCATCGGAGCCAACCGACCCGTCACCGAGGTCGTCAACTCTTTAAGGCGTATTTGTTTCGTTTCGCTGTAATCGAGTACTGTAATATATATTCACTTCCTAAGACCCAGAAAGCTACGTATAATAGAAAAAGCGATAAACGCCCAATGTAAATTAAAATGTAAGTACTAAATATAATTAAATTTTTTTATGTTACTAAGTGACGGGACGAATAGGACGTGCGCCTGGTAATAAACGACTTGACTGACCCAGAGTAGCTGCATTGTCACTCAGAGCTTTAAATTACAAAGTTCTGAGGGCACTGCCGCTGTGCCCGTAACCCTGAGACATAAGTTGATTAGTCTCATGTGCCTGTAATTTCACCGGCAAAAATGCTTCAGGCCCAAGCAAGTATGCCCTCAGTCTTAAAAAGGCATTCATCTAGATACCCAATGGGACATAATTACATAGAATGTATGGCGCTAAAATTGATTGCGTTAGTTTAATTATAATGTACACTGGGCGTTTACGTGAAAAAACTGCTAATAACAGTATAAGCACATGCACACATTATAATTAGTGTCAAGTATACGGTGAAAAATACAACATCATACTGTGGTAAGAACTACCAATGATAAAGTCGTTCAGTGAATACCACTAATGTTTACGGTTGCCTGGAAGTAATTGCTACTTAGCAATAGGGCCGCCTGTTGTGCATTATCTTACTCTGTGATACTTACATTACTGTTCTGTTTTGTCATTGTAATTTTTAATGTGCAATGAAGAATATTTCATTCATTCATTTATAATATTTTAAAATCAATAATAATAATAACTGATCTAGACCATGTAGAAATATAAGCATATGTAAGAATCGGTAGTTGAGAGTTAATAGAAAATTTTTTTACAAATTGATAAAGTTAAATTTTTAAATTATTAAAATTGTTAAATTATTGGTCAAGTGACCGTTGTGTGATATGTGAAGTCGGAAACTTTAAAAAAAATTGAAAGTGAAACTATTTTTACATACATACATATAATCACGCTTGTCTCCCACCGGGGTAGGTAGGAGATCACAAACCTGTACCTGTTACGCTCCTGACAAATGTCCTTCGCCTTCTCCACTCCCACCAGTCTCATCATACAAGCCCGTTTATTCTTGGTACTTTTAACCCGATCTTTTTTAAGGACATCCCCAATCTGATTGAGGTATATACACCGAGGCTACCTCTCCCCACGTGTCGGTCCATATTCGCTCTACACATTTGTGCCGTCAATCTATCAACATTCTTACTTTCCATTTTACAACTTGCCATATTCCATCACGAACTAAAAGATTTGGTGGCACCTTCCTCTGTCGCTCAATCGACAAATGATACTCCCTTCCAACGCACGTATTCTGTTCGGGGCCCTTCAAACGAGGCGCGAAGGAGCATCTTGTAGGCATGCAGAGTGAAGGTGTCTAAGGCAGTGATTGTATCAACACTACTCTAGTTTCCTTCACCTTTGGATTCCACTTTCCATTTAACATCATCAGGTGGAGTCATCTGCCTGTCACATGTAAACAAAAAAATTCGTTCCTCCTACATGAACAAACCATCGGAGCATCCCCCTCTCTATCCTGGTCAACTACATCATCTTTCATACCACAACGCTCTCTTACAATCGTCTCCGTACAATCGGTACTAGAGTATGACATAGAATTTTGGGGAAATGCGGCGGATTGGAAACGTGATTTCAGGCTGCAGAGACATGCAATACGGGCCGTGACGCGTATTTCTAATAATGAGTGCACACGGTCATATTTTGCGTCCTTAGGGATACTGACGCTTCCCTGTCTGCTGATACTCCAGATAGCTATGTATGCACGTAACCACTTGTATCAGTTCGCACAGAGATGTGACAATGAGCGGTACACACTGCGATACGGAGGCCGCCTCCGCGGCGATCTTCACCAGCTGGAGAAGGCGACGCGGACCATTCATGCAATGAGCCATTGCGTATACAATCACCTACCTGACGATGTCACTAGCGCTCCGAGCACGTCTTCCTTTCGCTTTAGGCTAAAAATGTGGCTAATCCAGAGCTCTTTTTTTAATTTATCGTAATTTTTAATTTTAAATAATATTATTTTATTGTATGTAGGTTACTATATTTTTTTAATATCAGTTTATAATGCAATTCATTTAAAATACATTTGTTTAGTTAATATTCTCTTTGACATTTAAGGTACTAAATTGACATGTAATGGAAATTATGAATAAATGATTATGGTTATGATTATTGCACTGTTCGGCATTCTGTATTTAGGACTATTTTTTCGTACCTAAATCGCGTTTATGTATTTGTTATAGAATATAATACAAACAAACCAAACTTCTGTAGTCACGGCTGACTGAGATGGTATTAGTCATCAACCAGTTACATCTATTATTAATTAATGCACACCGCCCAGTTTTGAGCTATAGTTATAAAATTAATTAATTACTTATTTTATTGATTATATGAGTTAGATCCGAAAAAAAATTTTTTTTTTCTTTGCGATTCAAAGCTCTGAGTGGCATTGCAACTGCTGTGGATAAACGTTTCGCTTAATATCAGGCACATGACACGTTATCCCGTGTTTTGGTATCATGAAATCATACAAAAAAAACTTATTCTATTCTACACTACAATGTTCTTATAATGAGTTAAAATCGTAGAATAATATACTTTATTGCATTCTTTTCCTAAGGTGCCAATGACGTGCCGGCGACGACAATGATTTAGAACTTATTGTTGTACTTTTATGGCTCAATACTTTAATAAAATTTATTTTGTGTCACTTTGTGTATATCTGACTGTGATGGAACACTAGTTGTTCAGCCGATTTTTAGAGTAATGATTTATTAAATTTTGTAATACCTATGTCTATTAGTAGACTAGAACAAGCTGACGTAAAGTGAAACTCGAACCCCCAAAAAAACCGATGCAAAACAGAATATGTATATAAAGTTAATGATATGAAAATTTTAGTTAAATTTTGACGACCTCGCTGGCCGAGAGGTTTACACTGTACTCTCAGTTGCTCTGGTGCTTCTAGTGCAGGTAATTTCCTAGTTTGAGACTAGGTGATTGGCGTTGTTGTCTGGCATATTAATTTTTTATTTGTAACATGAACTGTACTTCGTTTTTTTAGTAATAGACAGAAAAAATGTTGGATCTTTAATCAGGCGTCATTTCATTCTGTTATTTTGTAAGCAAAGCAATTTAATAAATACCATGAACAAACATGTTCGCTAAATGTATGTAATTATTACGTTTAACTTGCTCGTAATATTATATACTTGAATCAATTACAAACATGAAACGGAAACTTTTTACAAAATAATATCACACTATAGTGTCACTTATAAATGCCATTTGTCATCAATTCTCCTGATTTTATCCTACTGTAAATGTTCTGTGAAGAAAAAGTTTATGATCGCTGCTTCTTTGTTTATGTTTTTTCTAATTCTAAAAAAGAAACTAAGTATAGCGAATCCTGCCTTTTTTTAGAGTAATATTTTTTTTTATAATATCAAGTGACGGGTCGAACAAGTCGTGCGCGCCTGATGGAAAGTTACACGCCTGTCCAGTTGCAGCGTCACTCAGAGCTTTAAAACGCAAAGATCTGAGGGGCACTGCCACTGCGCTCGTCACCCTGGGACATAAGCTGACAAGTCCCATGTGCCTGCAATTTCACCAGCCCCTTAACCCTTCAAAACCGGAACGCAGTAATCCTAACAATACTGCTTGTCGGCAGAAATAGGTAAGGACTTCCCTGGACGAACCCTGTCACAAATAGCTCTATTGCTGCTAAATATTGTACAAGTATTCCGTATCACAGAAATGAATCTACACATAATAATAAAATATAATCAGAATTGTTTGTAAGTAGTATAAATTAATAAACTACCTTGTAATTATAAAACGTTTAATTTGTTTATGAGTCATTCTCTGGTCTAGTCACACTAACAATTCAATTGTTATAATTAACTCATGCTATCGGATCCTAATTAATTAATGCATGATTATTTTGTTAACTATAATTGAATCACGATGTCTGTCTGATAGATAGGTAGAAGCATAGAGTCTATTGTTTTTAATATGTTCACACGGCTTGTAGAAAGTAACGACAATGACGGCAGAGCTAACATAAATATTTATTCAGTACATCACTTTGCCGTACCGCAATAGAGCGTGTACAGTAAAATTCATAAACCCATTCTTGCGGGCCCTTTAAAAAATGTGGAGTACTTGCGATCCAAAAATACTTTACAAATTAAATTAACGCATTGATCGTCATAAGTTATTCGTCGTTTCATTTCCTTTACAAGAAGTTTTTATCTGTAAATTGTCCTTTGAAGAATACCAAGTGCCGGGACGAACAAGTCGGAGCTTTAAATCGCAAAGATCTGGTGGATGCTGGCACTGCGCCCGTTACCCTGAGACATAAGTTAACAAGTTCCATGTGCGTGTAATTTTTACCCTCCGCACCGACGAACACTTTCACAAGGAGCTCTACTGGTACTAAATGTGTTTATTGTATGTGTTGCATAGTGTGTTGTTATAGTGTCATTACGGCAACATAATAACACTGACCTATTGAACGGATCGTTTCTTCGGCCGTTAATAATCTCTTTGAACCCAAGCCGAGTATGTCTGTGTGAATCTAATTCGACTCCGGATCGAGATGCAAATACATAGCGGCGTTATTGATCCTACCTCCTTGCTCTATCTATGTGATATCCCGTGAATAGGTGGGTTATTTTTAACATAATTTCAAACGTTGTTGCAGACGGGAGGAGGTGTGAGTAGTAATGGGCCACACGCGCCTCTCTCGCCCACCGCATTGCAGAACTCTGTTCCGCACAATGTGAGTATACAATAAAAGTAGAATAAAATTGCATTTTCTTTAATAAAAACTCTTTGTTCGACCTCTTATACTAGATATCGTATAAGATTCTCGATTGTTTATTATTTGGGAGACACCTTATGACCCTAATATTATGTGTTTTTTTTAGTTTTTGAGTAACTCATGTTTTCATTCGCATCAAATTAATTTAATCTGTGGTATTGCCCGTTGATCTTAATGTTATTTGACATAAGTGTATATTTCCAAAATTATTAATAAACTAGGAGACTAGATTGTAATGGAATCACAGCACTAGCGCTGCCCATGCAGCACCAGAATTCAAATGACATTGTTGATATAAGTTGTCATTTAAATCTTCAAAAGATGACTAACTTGATCAAGTTAGTGATTCACCATTCAACCTCAAAATAGTTGTAGTAGCAAGCAGTTGAAGTTAAGAACTACATATAGTGAAGAGTAGATGTCAGTTTTGTTGACATCACTTTGTTGCTTTGCAATATTGTACTCCAGAGGTCCCAAATAGGAACTTTTTCAGATTGTTTCGAAAGCTTTCCCAAGCACAGTCTAGCAATAATATTATCACCGCAACTGGTCATGTTTGACGATCATTGTAAAGCTGAAACTGACACAGGATATATACCTTATGCTGCTAATGGCTTTGTTTTTGTCTCACTGTCGCTTTTACAATAAGCGATAATGACAAGTCAGTTTGTTAATAAAACTATTGTTGTGTTACACAGAACGTGATGTCGTCGTCGGTGCGCGCGCCCGCGCCAGCCGGTCCTGCGCCCTCCGTTATGCACACCTCGCAAACCAACAGCTGTAAGTCTCGCTCAACTACGACAGTGTTGAAAGTATTGTCGACTAGAATTCCGTATAAAAAAATCCAGAAAAACCAGATGCTAGAGAATGGGATGTTTTAAATAACAGTGAAATGTATTTCATAAGCGTCTTTCGGTTACTTTCCATAACAATTGGATTAATCTAAAAATTCCTAAAGGCGTGATTAAAAATTAAATTGTCTATAGTAAACTGCAGCTTTTCATCGTTAAATGAAACCCATTACTGATTATTACTCATCCATTTTATTGTTTAAACGTTTCAGACCGTTCAGTTCAGTTTCCTCACTTAATGCAAGACGAAGTGTCGTCAGGCGTGAATTAATGAAACTTAATAATTTTCCGCTTTGTGTAGTTTTTAATTGCGGGCTTATTGTGTTTATTGGAATAATCTAGAATCAAGTTTACTTGACTTAGCTCAATCTTCTCAGCCTTAAGCCATGCATTGAAAAGTTAGTAGTGCTAGATTAAGAAGTTTTAGTGAAGAACGCTTTAGACGTAGTTTAATATTCATTCAAATAATGTGGTGGTTTAATAAAAGGATTTCATTATTTTTCCTGGGTCATGGTTTTTGAAATTCTAGCCCTTATGTTCAAAAGTTTTCGATTTTCAAGTTCGAGTTTTTGAGCCCGTGTAGTTTTGAAACTATATAGTTAAACGTTGAACTGGCAAAACAGGACCATGTAAGTTTTTAAATCATGTGTACTGCATGTCATTGTGTCAACTAGTTTATATCAAAGTATCCAGTAAAAATAGCCACGTGATATGAACGAGTTTTAAGATACTGATAAGTAATTAATAGTATAGTAGCTATTTAACAACATCTGATCAAAGGAACAGAACTGCCAGTTTCATGGTCAAATAAAACGTCCGTATACGACGTTGGAAACCTAGCATAGAATAAAGAGGAAATTGAACGAATTAGGTCAGCTTTCTAAATCAAGTTTGTTTTCGTTAATTGTGGTGCTATGCGATAAATAATACAAAACATATTTTATAATGGTGGTAATGCTAATAATTTAAAAAGGTATATTGAACATTTGAAAACAGTAAATCTTACTCAGATTTTAAGTTAATGCAATGGATACCATCTCGTAAATGATTTATTTATTAGATCATTTTGATTTCGAAACGAACTTAACACTGTAGTTTCTGATCGACAACAAATTGGTTGATTACAAATAATATAATGATTGAATTAACAATGTTTTTTTCCAAATTTTTTACTTATAAATCAATCTTATTTAGAGTGGATATCACCAAAGTGGAATAGTTAATTACTCGCGTCTTATTCTTGTAAAGAAGACTTATCGACTTTGGTGAAATCCGCCCTTAATGTGCTAAATTTTATTGTGAATAAAAAGCGAGCTTCTAATTGATTAATATATATATATACGTGACAATATTAAGCTTGTACACGGTTCGTCTGTTTTGCGCGCCAGATGTGCCTCAGCTTTAATTATACCATCATCCTAATTAATTATGTGTTTTAAAGATAGAACACTATTCTAAAAAGCCATTGATATATACACAAAGCAGACAAAAAAACATTAAGTTATAAATAACAGCATGTCACGTGTGATACAATGTCAAGATATTTCCCTTAGTACGTGTATGGTGTTTATTACATACCGTTTACCTTACTGTGTTTTGATAGTGTAATACTGCCTTTTGTTATGCGACAGAGTTGCATGAAATCCGAATGGAAAGTATGTAATGTTTTAACCGCCGGTTTTAAGCTAGAGTCTGAAGTTAGCCTGTTCCTGGACATTTAGAATTTGTAGTAATATATAGTATGGTAGAAACTCTGTCTATATTTTGTCTGTGTGAGGCGTCTATTATAAAGTGTTAAAGACCACCAACTTGCTCGCGATGGAATATAAGAAATTCTGAATTATAGCGGTCAACTCTATCAGAAAACAGAGTAACTGAAATAATATGTTATTTTTCAGCGGTGGCACCTAAAGGCCCCAGTGATGTTCTAGTGAACTCTTCAGCACAGAACCCTCCACCAGCTGGTAACAGACTCGCCAATATGACACAGTGGCAGTAAGTAATTTCATATTGGTACTTGTCAAAATGTTTTCTGCGCAGGGTTACACTGAAAAATATTATTACAAATCGCACATGAAACCAAATACTGTCGTGACTCAAAAATGATGGAATTGAGAAAAAACGATTTGAAAATATAAAAAATTCGAATATTGGTATTCTTTTCGTTTATACATAATAATTAGTTATCCACTTATAAACAAGAATATAAATTTATTGTTTCCATCCGGTACTTTTTTGAATTTTCAAATCTTGTTTTCTTAATCCATCGTCTTTGAGTATATCAAAATGAGTCCAATTCAAATTAAAGACTTCGCTCTTGTTTTAAGTTTTATTAGCCATCCTTTGACGTAGTCGGGTGTTCGTTGTAATAGTTAACCTCTTCTTAATTATTACAACGGCTATTTTCCTTGTATTTCATTTAAACAGGACATCCATTTTTGATATATGTTCCTTTTAAATGTAACGCGTTATTTATTGGTTGTATGTACAAAAGTTAAGTCTTTTCCAAGAATTGTTTATTGCATAAATATTGCTAGGAAAACAAATTAAACCGTGCAAAAGCGATCACCGTATATCCACAATCTTATTAAGATTGTCAAATAGGATCATAATATATCATCATAATCAATCATTAAGTCGATCCTGTGGCCACCCATATAAAGCCTAAAATTATTTAACAGATGTGTCGTAATTTCTTTAACTTGTTGATTAAATTAATAGAAAGTATAGTCACTTGGGATAAGACCACGAAAGAAAAAAATAATGGAAGTTCCATAATTCTCGATTACTATCAGAACCGATGTCGCCAAAACGCATACAAACAAAATTATAAACACTATTAAATCTTGATAATTATTGGTCATAGTTTCTAATTTAAAAAGATTTAACAGTATATCATTGAAAGATCCAATACCTTTTTTGCAAGTTACGACGTTTTGATTTTATATTGAAATTTTATTCAACATGCTGCCATCTTGCGGCCAGTAGCTATACTATAACGACCGATTAACATCTGTACGAATAGATAATCACAATATAGAAAATTTATTAAAATTCACTTACAAATGATTGTAAATGCTACTACGATTAACATTTTTGGTGCAGCTATAATTTTTGCACTCCAATAAGGCATTTTTCTACGATTTTAGAGAATTTGCGCGAAAGAATGACACAACCATACCATACAAAGCGAAAATGGTAGACTGAGCTCAAATAGATCTTTTGAGACCTAGAGTTGGCAAGCGTCTGACGCTAACTAACCACTTCTACTATATTTATTGTACTGTGGATAAGACGAACATACTTTATTTTGAGTAATGTTTTGAGCTCTATGAGGAACAGATAGAAAGTCATCTAAGAATTTCGAAGTACACTAAACTTGCGTTTGTTTATCATCTTTACGTGTTTTAACAATCATTACGCTAAATTCAATACTTGCGATGTATTTAACGAAAACCTGCAAATTGCAGTAAACGTTTCTTGAAAAGTATAAAGGTAATGTATACCTCATGTTCTCAAGATTTCACAACTGTAAAATTGGATTTTTTTTTTTTATTTGGAGCATCATAGCGACATCTGTTTAAAATCGTTTAAAATAATTTGTCTGTTTTATCGACGTAGATACTATAGTTCTAAACTCTTTAAATTATTAGTTAAGCCTTCAACTCGGTTTGACTATTTGTCATGATAATGAATAATATAAGTTCGCAGGCGCGCACCCTATAGTGGAACCCAGTATTAGAAAAAGCGTGTTTTTTTAAGGTCTAATACGGGTTGAGATTGACACACTCCGATGAGTTGTTGTGACTTACTCTGACTCTCAGGTGTGATTAAACTTTTTCTTTCATTTTGCACAGAGCGCGTGATTCAAAAATACACTGTGTTGTAACGAGAATGGAATCCAAGGTAGAAGGCAAGCTTTTTCTGCCAACTGTGCTCTTTGATTTATCCGTTGCCTATATACTCAGCGTGTTAATGGTTACCTATTTATTATAATCAAGAATGAACAACTCACTTTACATGCTGATAAGTTATTATCTAAAAACAAGATAACATGTTGGTGCGTTCTAGTCGGCGCCGTGAAATATGACGAGTGACATCACACAGTGTTTCTACAAGACTTGCAAAGTGAAATTATATATTCCGCCAATTGCATACGATGAACTTGAGTAAATATCTTTGCGGTTTTGTTTTCTTTTTTATCTTGAGAAATTCTTGGTGGTTGTTACAGCTTTCTAATCCTTTAATTTGAAATACCTGACATACATATATCGTTTCAGTGTTCAGTAAGTTCGACACTGTTCATTCACGTACACGCTAATTCATATTTCGATATCTCCAATGAACACTACGCCAACTTAATTTTTGGACCTGTTCTGTTTTTATTTTGTTTTTTGTTTCGTTATTTTTTTTTTCACAGAGTCCGTTTTTTGTTTTTTTTCCAATTTTGTTTTTTGTTTCTTTATTTTTTTCACAAAAATTCAGGGAGCATAAAATTAGGAAATAAATATGGCTGCTTACAGAAATAACAGAAAATGACCAAAAAATAAAGTTGGCGTAGTATTCACTGGAGGTATCAATTTGTTCAATTCAATTACATTGAGCGATCAATATAAGTACGTTAGAATATAAGATTGAGAACTCTTCATCCACTTTTGAATAACCACTGGAGGAACCTGTGTCACTACACGGGTTCATACAAATTATTGTAAATCAACCTTAGAGCCTATTAAGTTTTTTTTTAATCCAAGTGTCAATTACGTTCAGGACTGGTACAGTTCAATTATGTTGTTTTTTTACTGAAATATTTGTTGTTAGGTTAACGCACCTTCTATTAAGGCATATTAATTTGTTCCGCTATCATTGTTTGGAATAACGTTGCAATAAGTGGACATATATGGAATAGATTACATATTGTGTTGTGTCACTAGTGGGCAGTCGACTGACCGTGTTTGTATTGGACGATTGACTTTCTTTTCGTACCTTATAAGTTTATGTGGTAATATATCCAGATAGTAGTTTTATTATTATGTGTTGGTATATCTAGATTTTTTTATGTCGGGATTAGAAAGAATCGCGGGTAGGCGCCCAAGTAAAAACACCAAATTTTTTCTGCTCTCTATTTTTATTCATTTTAAATAGTAAATGTGTATATTCATTAAAATTTAGCTCACATGCACTAAGGTTGACTGTTTACTTACTCTCACACAAACTTTTACACCTTCACAATGGACACTTCAGCAGAGCAACTCAAGAAGAGTATTGATGAACTATCCACAATGTTTAGTAGCAGGATGGGGGAATTTGAGAAAAATCTCCACCAGCCCAGCGGTACTGCTACCACAGTGAAGAGTATTGCAGCAGACTTCAACTCTTTCAAGGCCTTCGTCTGGAAATCCATCAGCATGCTCAAGTCCCAGGTAGAGCTCCTGCATGTTTGTTTGGACCGTCTCGAGACACACTCCCGCAGGAAGGTCTTACTGTTTCATGGAATCAAGGAGGATGTTGGTGAAGACACAGCAAAGAAAGTTTCGGCCATATTATCCAACCAATTAAAGTTGTCCAGTATGGATCACGAGGCTTTTGAATCTTGCCATAGATTAGGTGCGAAGAGGGACTCTGCCCGGCCTATATTGGTTCGTTTTACTACAGCACAACTTCGGTCCAAGGTATGGAAGGCTAAAACGGCATTGAAAGGTTCCAAAACTTCAATCTCCGAGTTCTTGACAAGACCCCGGCAGGATGTTTTTGTGGCGGCTCGAGGTCACTTCGGTATGAAAAGGTGCTGGTCGACCGATGGAGTGGTAATTATACTTCTTCCTGACAAAAGCCGTAAAAAGATTGTTTCCTTGGCTGAGCTGAAGTTATTGATGTCCCAGTACCCCAAGGATTCCTCGCCGCCTGTCCGTACTGTGAAGTGAAAGAGCATTCTGCTGGGTTTGTTGTTACTATTATATTTTGTCGGCTTATACTGTTTCCGTCTTTTTGTAATAATATGGGGTATTCATCATGTTTTATATAATATTTTGCACACAAAATTGAAATACCTCCGTCAATTCACTTTTAATCGGAGCACCCATCAAGTGTCACTTTCTCTTTTTTTTTTTTTTTTTTTATTTGGCTCTGTTCGTTCAAAAATTACAGGCTAGGGTTATAAACCGTTCTGCCTCGTCCCAGGCTTAATTTTTTTTTTATATAAATGGAAAATGTATCTTAGAATAGTTTTGCAATACATATGGTATCATAATATTACCCTCACAGTGTATGTATCATTAGAGTAGAATTTCGTTTTAATGTTTCATTTTTCATTCATACCTATTTTAATTATTATTATTAATAGTTCTAAGTAATTATTGTTTGTTTGTTGCTCTTAAATTTCAGTTTTTATTTTTGTAAGTTTGGAGTTACTCGTCTTGTCAACCTGTGCAGTGGGTTATTTGGAAATAGCGTATTTTTTTTTGTTTTGTTTTTTTTTTTTCGTATTTTCTTTACATATTTATTTAGGTTTATATAACTATATATATTTTTTTTATTTTTTACAATGTTTATTGAAGATGATTATTTTTCTTGCTCTTCAGATGATTATATTAGCGCCCAAAGTCATAATACTTCACTTTCAGATTCTGAACCTTTGGAAGATAAACTTCACGATGTATTTGATAATTATAACAAATTCCTTTCCTTAGTGCACATCAACGCGCAGAGCATTCCTGCTCACTACAATGATTTTCTTACATCTTTTAGCGCCGGCATAGTTGATTGTATTCTTGTGTCGGAAACCTGGCTGAAACCTACTTTACCTTCTACTAGCTGTTCCATTCCGGGATATAAACTATTTCGTAATGACCGTGTCGGGTGTGGTGGAGGTGGTGTTGGCATTTACCTTCGTAGCCACATCATTGCTGATGTTGTTTGTTGCTCTCAGTCACTATACACGGGTTCCTTGGAACATTTATTTCTTTCAATTGTAGTTCACCACAAAAAAATCCTGCTTGGCGTTTTATATAGCCCTAATGATAAAACAGAATATTTTAACGTCTTGGAAAGTACTTTTGAAAACTTGGTCCCCCTTTTTGACCATGTCATTGTAATGGGTGACTTAAACACGTGTCTCCTCAAAAATGACAGTCGAGCCGTCAGGTTGGCAGCTTTGACGTCTGCGCTTGATCTCCAAGTGCTAAATACAAAGAAACCGACCCATTACTTTCCTAACTGTAGGCCTTCCTTGCTAGATTTAATTATTGTCACTAACCCCAAACTGGTCATTTCGCATGGGCAGATGATTGCTCCCTTTTCACATCACGACTTAATTTATCTTTCTTACAAAGTGCGTCCACCTAAAGGTAGGGGAAAAGTCCTTCTTTTGCGAAATTTCAAGAATTTGAATCTGGATCGTTTGAGAGAAGATATGAGATGTATTGACTGGTCCGTATTGTTTTCGTCTGACAGTATTGACGTAATGGTTGATATCCTTAACACTGAGTTGGTGAAGGTTTATGACTCCCATGCTCCTGCTCGGCCTGTGCGTGTCAAACGTGCGCCGGCTCCTTGGCTTTCGCCTGAGATTAAAAGAGTTATGGCAATGCGTGATAAAGCCAAATGCCGTCTAAAACGTGAACCCTCTTCAGCAAATCTAGACGCGTATAAGAAGTTACGCAATCTCAGCAATAGAATGTGTAGGGATGCCAAACGTCGCTACTTTCACTCTACCATACAAAATCTTTCCCAAGCTCAGGTGTGGAAATTTTTACATTCCGTAGGTGTTGGCAAGTCGTCCTTGGATGTTTGCCAAAACAACATAGATCTCGATGCCCTGAACTCCCACTTTTCCACGCCGCCCATCATCCTTAACTCTCGCACTAAATCGAATACTCTAACTTTTCTGTCTAATCTTGCGTTACCTGATTGTCCCCCTTTCACTTTTAGTGCGGTCACAGAGGATCTTGTAAAAAAGAGTATCCGCTCGATTTCCACTAAGGCCATTGGCAGTGACAATTTGAGCCTCGAAATGATTCTTCCCGTGCTGGAGGACATTGCGCCGGTTATTACTTACATCATAAATTTTTCTCTCTCGCGCTATGTCTTTCCAACTCAATGGAAAAAGGCTTTTGTCATACCTCTCCCTAAAATCCAGAATCCTACATCTTTTTCACAATACCGTCCTGTTTCCATTCTCCCCATTCTTTCTAAAGCCCTAGAATCCATTGTACATACACAACTTTATTCTCATCTTACCTCCTATAATCTTTTATGTCCGTTTCAGTCTGGCTTTCGTCCATCTCATAGCACTATTGGAGCATTACTGAACATTACGGAGGACATACGTCGTGCTATGGATGAAACGAAACTCACTGCCATTGCCCTCTTGGATTTCAGCAACGCTTTTAACTCTGTTGACTTCGACATTCTTCTTGGTGCCCTTCAGGCTGTTAATATCCCTTCTCCTATTATAAGTTGGTTCTCTTCGTATCTTTTCGGTCGCCAGCAGAGCGTGAAAATCAATGATGGCTCGTCATCTTGGTCTAACTTAACTGCTGGTGTGCCCCAGGGTGGCGTACTCTCTCCTTTACTCTTTTCTATTTTTATTAATAATATTTCCCGTGTCATTTCTTCTCCCTTCCATTTATATGCTGATGATCTTCAGCTTTATCGTAATTTTGAAGTGGGCGAGGTAGCGGAGGCAATTGCGTCTATCAACTGTGATTTGTCTGCCATTCAGTTATGGGCCAAGTCATTTGGCCTTTTGGTTAATCCAGCCAAGTCTCAAGCAATGATTGTGGGCAGTAGCAGATTGAGGTCCAAGTTGGACTGGTCTTTGGTACCTGCGCTGGTATATGACGGAGTTCCAATTGCATATACTGACAAGGCTAAAAATCTCGGGTTAGTAATGGACTGCACCTTGTCTTGGACTTCTCATGTCAATGAGGTCAGCAGACGAATGTACTTCTCATATCATTCTCTCAAACGTCTCCAATACTTTCTTCCTTTTCACACCAAAATTATGCTTGCGCAAACTCTTTTACTCCCTATTCTTGACTATGCCGACGTTTGTTACTTGGATGCGACCGAAGACCTTTTATACAAACTAGAGCGTCTACAGAACCTGGCTATCAGATTTATTTTCGGTCTCTGAAAATTTGATCACGTTTCCGAATTTCGTGCTCGGTTAAAATGGCTCCCAATCCGCCTTCGCCGTGATGTGCATATCCTGTCCACCCTTTTTAATATACTTCATGACCCAAATTCTCCTTCCTACCTACGTTCCCGGTTCCAACTGCTTCCCCCTCCTAGCCGCTCAAGGCGTCCGTGCATCACTAAGATGCTCGTTCATCCTAGTTGTAAAACAAATTTCTTTTACAACTCCTTTTCCTCTCGTGCAGCGCAGCTGTGGAACAGACTCCCTTCCCATATTCAGTCTAGTCCGTCAATTGCTTCCTTCAAGAAAAGGTTGACAGCGCACTTTCTTGCTGAACTCTCTTAATAATCATCATATTTGTATATGTGTAAGTTTATTGATACAATGTATTATACGTTATGTAGTCTATTTATTTATATACTATTTTAATTATTTAACGGTAATTTTATATATGCATATTTTACACATGTAGATTATCATCTTTTGTTATCTCTTTTGCACGCCGTTCCCCGCTTAAAACCTTTGCTCTCACTGCCTTGGGTTGGCTGGAAGAGATCTCTTTTAGAGATAAGTCCACCTTTGCTCACCTTATGTTATTTTTTTGTTTCTGTTTATTTGTTTGGTGCAATAAAGAATATATATATATAAATTAAATACTATTAAGTTTATTGAATATCACGATATTTGACTATCGTGATACTCAATTATTTTTTGTGTCATTAATTCACTAGTTTGTTATAATTATTAATACAAAGAACGAATACTAAGACAAATAATCAGTTGGGAGAGCGTTAGGCGCGGTATGCTGAAGGCGCTGGTTCTAATCCAGCCGGATCAAAGGAATTTTTAAATATAAGTACTCTTTATACCATCGGGAAAGGCTGAGACAATACCCTTCCACTTGCTACTTAACACCTGAATAAGGAGGTACAGCTAGTAGGGACTAGTGGAATAGGCTTATTTAGTTGATACATAAGATAAATATACCTTGATAATTATCTTAATATTTATAAAGTTAATAGGAACAACAAAACGCTATCTCTAGCAAAATCGTGCCATATGTTTGTGTTATTGTTATTGTTATTTCCCGGTCACTAAGCTACATAATGTTTGTATCCAAGACGTATCCATACGTGTCAAATAAATGTGAATCGCAAAAAGTCACAAACCATATCATTTTTCAAAAGATTTATAAATGTATGTAAACGTTTTTGTTCACATATGTATTTTTTTTATATTTATAAGAATGTTTACATAAACAAGCCCTTTTTTGGCGAATAACGGAACTTTGTGGAGACAGATTAAAAAAGCATGAGATACCAAATACATAAATAAACTATAAACCATTTTTTATAAAAATTGGTTTTTACTTTCCCGAAGTATCGAGTTAATGGTTTTTTTTAACTTGTCCACCGAGTGTAGGACGACTAACTCTTATAAAACAAGTTTTAGCTTACGATTTAACTGTTTAGTCTTTCTAAACAATTTCTGTACAACCAATGTTATTAATGAGCTCATTATCTGTAGAGTATACCGTAGATTAGGCGTTGCCTTGCGAAAGACATTACTAATGTTCATGCTGTGCCGTGTATGGAAAACTATTTGTTATACACATAAATTACTTTGCTTTTGTTCGCAGTTGGCACCATGGCGCGATCTCACGCGAGCGTGCAGAAGCTTTGCTGTCAGGTTCACCAGACGGTGTGTATCTCGTGCGCGAGAGCACTAACTTCCCCGGCGACCACACACTCTGTGTGCGGTACCGCGGACATGTGGAACATTACAGGTCAGTCTCCACCACATCGTCGTCAAGCAATTGATACGTACCGGGTCTCCTCTCTGACGAGGGTTTAGGCCACTTTTAGGTTGGGCCAGCGCGGTTGTGTCACACATTTTCCGAGGGTTGTGAACTTTCTTCGACGTGCAGGTTTTACCACGTGTTTTCCCTCAACGAACAGCTCATGATAATTTGCAAATTCAATTTCGCACATAAGATGTAGTAGCAGTCAGTAGAGATCCTTGTAAAAGAGTCCGTCCACGGAAGTACTGCCATCTTACTTATTTTTGCTGCTAAGCTGTAATGTGAGCATTACTGCGTTCCGGTTTCGATTTGTTGACAAGCCTGTCACCCTGAGACATTTTTTTTTATTACCCGAGGTAATCTGCTTACAGATACCCCAGATTATGTAGGACTGGGCTGAACCCTGAAGGGGAGCAACCCAACCGCACCAAACCCCCGGGGTGTTCCTCCTCTCCGCTGCAGGTAGAGGCACGGGTACGCTATCACTCGTCCTCCACCCACCCGGCCTCCACCAGAGGCTGGCCGCGCCCAGCACAGCCCCCGAGAAGGGAGACATAACAGTCCCCCGACTCCAAATGTAAGGCTCGCCGAACTCCAGACGAGCCTTCCATCTCGGGTCCCTCCATGCTGGGCAGCGAACTCCCCTGAATCCGCTATCTAGGGGCCATGGGGCCAGCACAACATCCCCTCAACTCTACTCAACTGTGAAGTTCAGAGGATGCTCCCCAGCCCCCGCGGCGGATCTGTTGGTAGGCTCCGCCGCAACACCCTAAGCGCATCCACGTGGACTCTCCGTAGAGAGTCCTTTGGAGCGCCCACCGCAAAGGCCAATCGCCCGTGAGACATACATATGTTGAGATGTCTCAGGGTGACGGGCGCAGTGGCAGTGGGACTGGAAACGGGTTTCACGATTTGTTCGTCCCGTCACTTGATATTATTTATTTATTTTATTATTAAGGAATAACAACAGCCAACTTAAATACATCTTACAACGAACAATATTTGTCTTAAATAACTTAGGCCAAAATAGTTATCCACAATTATAAAAGAAATAAAGTTGGTGCGAGCTCGGGTTGCAAACCACGGTCCCTGCTTGAGAGGCGGTAGGTCAAACCATTACGCTACCACGACTTTTTTTCTCCACACCACAACCACAAAAATATTTTGAGGTCCACGGCTTGGTCTTCAACGAGAAAGAGACATCTATATAAAACCGTGTACTCATTACCAAACGCGAACATCGGAAATGAATTGAGAATATTTGATGTTTGCTAGCACTTTATCGAACAATTTTGTTACGTATTATGTTCTTTAATGTGTATATTGTGCGTTTAGGAATCGCACGAATCTTTCCCACCGAAATAATATTACTCATACGATCAGAACACGTAACAGTGAAATACTACTTGAGTCGGAATCTTGAACCTTTACTTTTAAAAATGTATTATAGTACCTAAGTATATCTAGTAATCTTTTTTATTTCACATTTCAGAGTAAAATGGGCGACAACGCCCGATGGCCAAAACCGTCTCACTATAGACGACGAAGAATTCTTCGACCATATGACTGATTTAATACATGTAAGTTTTTCTTTCTTTTTAATATATCTGGGAGGTATCTGCTTATTACCTTAGCTCATTTCTCAGACGAGTATAACCATACGTTAAACTACATACTACTCTTATCCATTCAGGTTTTTGTATATTCAAATTCGTCGCTACTTTTAAATAATGTCGTTATTTATGACATTTTCATGTAAATGACATTCATAGTTCATTTATTTGTGAGTTTTCACACATAAACAAGCCCACATACACATATACAAGTTGTATAGAAATTGACATGTACAAAATAAATATAGTTTCACTGTGTCCGGCCAAATATTGGGCATACATGTTGAAGATATATTATGCTGTTACTCGCATGCATATCACCAGACTAAACCAGGTGCAACATGTTTTTTTTTAATAATATCACATGGGCGTGTACACATCGATTTAATAAATCAGTCAGTAATTTAAACGCGGTGATAGTTATATGGGTCTATTTATTAAAATTTTATTTATATATTTGTTTAATAACAATTGCGTAAGGTGTCAAAATAACAATAATAAAAAACTAGTCAACCATGACCTTACGACTTGTAAAGGGCCCGAAACGTTGGTTTGTTTAAAAAAACAAATACACGGAAATATAGTTTCATTTCCTATGTGTAACAATCGCAAAAACCTATGAACTCGAAAACAACATAATAAACGTAATTTGAATAACATTAAAATAAATATACAAATGTCAAAAATAAGACAATGAAGTTCGGGAGTTATCATGTAAAAATTCGGACACTGCATTTTATTACTCAACAGTTGCTTAGTTGTTTTAAATATCATAATGTTTCTCAAACATTAGTTACCTTCGGTAAAGATAATCTTTATTCGTTTCCCAGCACTATCTCCAAGACGCGGACGGATTATGTACGAAGCTAGTGCGGTGCTTGCCCAAAGCAACACCCAACGGTGCTAACAATAACGGCTCTCACCAACCCCCATACCCTCCACACCCACAGGTTAGTATAAAATTCATAGCTAATAAGCTATAACTTTACCACCGATTTTACGTCGCATTCGCGTAAGAAATATATTATCAAAATACGTAATTTTTTTTATAACTCATAGATTTAGGGATACACATTTTATACAGATAAATATAAGTAAATATGAGTAACAAAATAAATATAATTTCTCAGTGCCATTAAATAAATAATGTTTAGAAAATAAAAGTAATTATAACATGTTTTTTTTTATATTACTATACTTGAAATATCACATGGGAGCGCAAGAATGTGCCTTATAATCTATATAAAGCCTATACTTATATAAATAAGTTAAACACGGTTATACTGAGATTTATATTCATTCAACCTTTTACAATAATATAATCATTATTGTAAAAGGTTTCGAGATGTGCAAATAATACGAGTGTAAGAGAGAAGAATTAACTAGAATGCGATAATAATATTTGAATAACGAAAATGTCAATATAAAATTTACCAATTAATTGATGTTTGAGACTAGGTACGAATACCAAATGCTGAATAGGTGTAGTGTCTTATAAAGGTTATAATGTGTGTGACCGTGTGTGATTGTACCGCGTGGCGTCCTGTGAAGCTCAAAAGCAGGATAGGCCTAATTGATTCTAACGTAGAGGGAGAATAAAAAAGAATAGAGAAGCTTCTCGCGTATACTGAAAAGGGATACCAACAGAGTGCCTATAAATTCTGGGTTGTCTACTTTTAAAATTTTACCCCGTTAAAGAAGTTGAAATGAAAATGAAGCCGTGGTAGCCTAATGGTTTGACCTACTGCCTCTCAAGCAGAGGGTCGTGGTTTCGAATCCAGACTCGTACCTCTGAGTTTCTCGGAATTTGTGCGAAATTTAATTAGAAATTTATCATGAGGTTTTCGGTGATGGAAAACATCGTGATGAAACGTTGAAGAAGGTTCAAAGTTCTCGGAAAACGTGTGCAGTCCCCAACCCCCATTGGGCCAGTGTGGTGGACTGTCGCCTGAGCACTCGCCTGAGACGAGACCCGTGCCCAGCAGCGGGACGTATAAATCGGTTCATGATAATGATGAAACCTGCCGAGTCTAAGGAGGGAGAATTCGCCAGACCACATTTAGCTTGGTTGAGTTTTAGTAGCCAAATAAAACAATTATGACAAATCATTACTTTTTTATTGGCCCTTGAACATTATTAACTTAGTATACATATTTCGAACTGAAAAAGTATTGAAAAGTAAAAAAAAATACAATATTTAAAATAACCCATAAATTGGGGAAAAGATAGTGGCAAAAGCACGGTATCCCTAAAATCAGCTTAAGCCTGTCTAATTTAATTTATACGTTATTTATTTGATCTCTCTTTCTCGCGTATCATAACCACTGCTGGTAGAGGTGGACATATTTGACAAAAGTAAGATATTCTTCTTATTTTAGGAGGTTTATACGTTACGACAAAAATCTTTCAATCAAGAAACACACTTCAAATATCATCTAAAATACATTAAATCGTAATATTCCAGGCTTGTAAGAGTATTTCACTGGTAATTCATACAAGAAAATTCATTGATTGTAATGAAAAATTAAAACTTACGTGCGAAAGGTTATGTTGGGAATTTTTCGTTCCATACGGCTTTTACAGCCTAAAATATAACAATGCACCATTATTGTGAGCTGTAATAATTGTCAATTACTACAAAGGAACGGTTAGTAACTTTGTAAAACACTTCTTAAAAGCACAAACACGTAAAATCGATGCACGTCAAACACTCGGAAGGATTTGCTGGACTCAACGAGCGTTGAGTCATACAACCAAAACCGCATACGTAGAAAGAGACAAAAAATAATATTGTTTTCTCGTTTACTCTGATATGTCTGTGCGTTAATCTATTTCGCTTATGCGGTTTTTATTACGGATTCTATTTATGGATTCTAACTTTGATAATTTGAAATTAAATGTCAAATGTCGCATTTCGAAATCTACTGTCATTTCAAATCCAGGAATGGGTCAAGACCCAAGGAAAATGTGTAGGATTTTTCGGATTCGATATTCTCAAAACGTCTGACTTGTTCAAGTTACACAGTTAGGGGAGCAAAACTGCATTGGGTAGTCCCGATCGATCGCAGGTCGAGAATAAAAACATGATTGTACACAGCAACCGCCTCCCTACCCGCCGACGCCCAGCGTCACGAGCTCTCTGTCATCAAGCCACTTCCAGCACACGTACGCATCGCAACCGCAGCCCAGCACCGACCAAACCGATTCCGCCGCGCAACACAAGTTCGTCGATGCTCGTAAGTAATCTTCCTTTTAATTTTAAGTAGCAGTAAGTTCCCTGCGCGGTTCTTAAATGTTTACTTGAAATTTTGAAAATTGGTTTCCGAAATCTATTTAAAACTTCTAGGTTACTTTTGCCGCTTTTATTAAAAACTAGGCAAAGCTATCACATGTCGGTGGCCAACTCGCGGTTGGAAATACTGAATTTATGTAAATCTTAAAAAAGTCGCCACTATTCAAAATGAATTTTTCGATCTTAAACCCTAACTTTATGATATGAAGACGATAAACAAAGAAAACGACGGATCATTGACCACCTCACGGTCGAATGAAATTGATTTTAGTATATCCATTATTACCTCATCAGTAATTTGAGGTAAAATATAAATGTTTTAAAAAACGCTAAAACTTTAGAGTCAATAATGAAAATATCGATAATTTCAGGCTGGATAATAGCGGAGCGTGACCTGGAGATTCGGGAGAACATCGGCAAAGGCGAGTTTGGCGACGTGATGCTCGGCATCCTCAATGGCACGCAAAAGGTGGCTGTCAAAATCCTCAAAGACCGGGAGGCGGCCAGCAAATTCCGCGCCGAAGCTAGTGTCATGGCGTAAGTACTTATCACATGTAAATGTAACCGTTTTTAGCGTCTAAAAGATCTTAGGTACTGTTGTATGGCATACAACTTAATTAATTAAATTACTTATAAGTACATTTTAATAATTATAAAACTTCTATGTCCGAATTTTATGGGGTTAAGTGCTATAAGGGCCTCAAGGGATTCATTTTTTTTTTTTTAACACACACTCATCATAGCCCCGCACTAGGGAAACCCTGTGTCGCGGGTGCCATGGACACACATATAGACAACCACAAATCACACCCAAACTCACGAGAGAAACAAATGTAGGTCATACAAATATTTCTCCCGGCCCGTGAATCGAACCTGGGACCTCTGCGTGGCAGTCCGGCATGGTAACCGTTCGGCCACAGAGGCAGTTTATATTAATTCAAAGATACTAAAGCGTTACTATATTTGAGGCTATCAACTGTTGATTTTTTTTCTATAATATTACTTTAAATTATACTAAATTACATAATTATTTTATATTTGGATTGGATGCTATTTTCATGTATAAAAAGTGTGTAACTATTCACTGCCTCTGTGGCCGAACGGTTACCTTGACTACCATGACTGCCACGCAGAGGTCCCAGGTTCGATTCCCGGGTCGGGAGAAATATTAGTATGGCCTACACATTTATTTCTCTCGGAGTTTGGGTATAATATATATAAATTTAAGGTGCTTTACCGCGTATTTTAATGGTAATGTCACTCCGTAATGCTACTTACTTCATGCATCTAACCTAGATTAAGACTATCTAAATATATTTTGTGCAGTATCTTGGCTTCGTTCGACGAAGGAACGGCCAGTATAATGTTATACCACTCAGTCTGTCGTATGTTAAGTACACTGCAAAACCGTCTCCTGAGTCTCTCGGACCGAACAAATTCCAACAAAACGATTGAATAATATTCATATTGTTAAAATATTTTGCAAATCGTTAATATTCTATTGTTTAATATTCTTTGGTGAATTAAAAAGTAAGGCATTTAATTTATTAATAACTTGTAACTATAGTTCAAAATTGGGTGGTTTGTATTAATATTGGACATCACTTGTTAATGACTTTATCATCTTAGTCAATCTTGACCATGGGACCCTGTAAAGGGTCTGAAACGTTAGTTTGTTTGAAAAAAAAAAACAAATATACGCGATTTTGATATGAAATAATAGTTGTATTTCCAATGAATGTTTGCTTACAGCACGCTGAAGCACGACAACCTCGTACGCCTGCTGGGTCTGGTGTTCAGCTCGAACGGCAGCACGTGCATCGTGACGGAGCACTGTGCGCAGGGCAGCTTGCTCGACTACCTGCGTTCCAGGGGGAGGCACTACGTCACGCAGCTCAACCAGATCAACTTCGCCTAGTGAGTATATATAACAACTTTTACTACTTTCGATTTTTTATTTAGGAAAAGCACGCGAGATAGACAGAAAAGAGATTTTTTTTTAATATAATTAAAAATTTTACATTATACCTCAAGTTACTGATGAGGTAATAAATATACTAAAATCAATTTCATTCGACCGTATGGTACTCAATAATACGTCGTTTTCTTCGTTTATCGCCTTTATATTATAAAGTAGGGCTTAAGATCGAAAAATCCATTTTGAATAGTGGTGATTTTTTTACAAGACTGTTACATAAATTCAGTATTTCGTACCGCGAGATGGCCCCCGACCAGTGATGGCTTTGTATAGTTTTTAATAAAAGCGGCATCTCGGCATTCTTAAGTAGCCTAGAAGCTTCAAATAGAATTCGTAAACCAATTTTCAAAATTTTAAACGAATATTTAGGAATCGCGCAGTAGTTTTTTTTATGAAACCAAGTCACGGGACGAACAAATCGTACACCTGGTGGTAAGAGACACGCCTTTCCATAACAGTTGCAGTGCCACTTTAATTCTTCGTAATTTACGTTTTAAATTAAATTAAATTACAAAGATTTGATGGGCGCTGCCACTGCGCCCGCCACCCTGAGACATAAGTTGACAAGACCCATGTGCTTGTAATTTCACCAGCAACCTTACCCTTCGAAACCGGAACACAGTAATGCTAACATTACTTCCCTGGACGAACTCTTTTACAAGGAGCTCTACTGCTACTGAAGAGTGATTACTTGGCAAACTAAGGTATAATATGGAAAGAAAATCTTTCTAAAACGTGAATTGTTTTAGTAGCACTGGTAAATAGCAATCAGCTGTCACAATAAGAGCAGCGTAAATTGTGAAAATAATGCTGCCGTCCGCTTACTAAAACGCGACTAATTGACAAAATATTTTTTTGAGATATCACAAAAAACCATAACTCAGTTTTAGAATATTTAAATTGTTTGATATTTCAGCTATGCATCGTTAGAGTAAGTTCCGATAAGTCGAACACGTTAACTAATTTTAACTGTTTCTGTTTTAAGAGAATCTTGTGCTCTATTTTTTGCTATTTAAAACGGATATTTGACCAATTATCACTTAGCTGCGGTTTAGTTAATGGACGACAGAATATAGAATCCTACAATACATGCACTGTGACTGAGTTTTTGTATAAAACTTTAATTTGTAAGTTAATTGCTTTTACACTAAAATAAATTATAGTGGATAGAACCTTTAGTCGTATAGTAATCCAATGTAGCAAAATGTCAAATATTCTTAAAACACTAATGACAATCAATTCTTTATTTAATACTCTTACAGAAATGTTAGAGGTATTCAATTTGTATTTGTGGCGTCTGTCCTACAGTTTTATTTAACATTAGTACGGACGCTGAAGTGGAACTTAATCTTAATATGTTCCTTGTGTAATAATGTTTCGTAATTTTAAGATAGCATGCAATTGTATTGACTCAATAAAGATTATTATTATATTCAATTTAGGAAATGCAACCGTTTTTCCGGATTTAAATCGCGTATATTTGGTCACGGTTGACAGCCAACCGCGACCATGGGGCCTGTAAAGGGCCCGAAACGTTGGTTTGTTTGAAAAATCAAATATACGTGATTTAAATCCGGAAATATATTTTATTTCCTATGTGTAAAAAATATTTTATTTCCTATGTGTAACAATCGCGAAAACCTAAGAACTCGATATATATTCAATTTGTCAATTTACAGCGACACCTGTTGCGGCATGGAGTACCTCGAACGTCAGCGCGTGGTGCATCGCGATCTCGCTGCGCGGAACGTGCTAATCTCAGCCGAGGGTACGGCTAAAGTGGCCGACTTCGGCCTGGCCCGCACTGACCAGTCTGCGGACGACCCCGCCGATGCGCTCAGGGTGCAGGCGAAACTGCCTATCAAGTGGACTGCCCCGGAGGCGCTAAAGTACAATGTTAGTATTAGTAGCTTTTGTATCGTATACCTTAAAGGTACTATTCTTAACACCGCTGCAGACGACAAATTGCAGCAGCACGGCTGTTTCCTTATAAATAAAAGAAATTGCATGAAATTAATTCGAAGAGTGGCAACACCGCCGCTAGATCATTGTTGTAATCAAATCAAGTCCTGTACAAAAAAAAAATTCTAGGCTTTATTATTATTATTATCGTATTTATTTTAAACTCTCGCCTCTCCCAAGGCCTAAAAGATTAATTTTGAATTTTTAAATATTATTATTATCTTTGCTTGGTAGGGATGTCCGTTAATTTCAAGTGAAAACCTGTTATATTGATAAATACTAGCAAAAATTTTAAGGTGATTACGGTGTTTAAGGTGGTACGCACTAGAGTAAATAGAAAAAAAGTTCACCGCGGCGGGCTTGAACGTTATTGGTAACTATAGTTGCCAATTCCGCTTAGTGCAACAACGTCATTGGCAACTATAGTTGCCAATTCCTGTTGAGTGGATATTAGACATGTGATCTTATTACTTTGATTGGATGATTCAAATAAATATGGCTCCATGGAGAATCACTATCTTTTTAACTTCTTTCACGTGATCTTATTACTTTGATTGGATGATTCAAATAAATATGGCTCCATGGAGAATCAATATCTTTTTAACTTCTTTCCAGAAATTCTCTAACAAGTCTGATATGTGGAGTTTCGGTATCCTGCTTTGGGAAATTTATTCGTTCGGCAGAGTGCCATATCCTAGAATTGTAAGTATTTCATACTTGTTTGTTACATTTAAATGTTCCTCCTGTCATAAAATGACATTGAACAGGGTGTCTTAGAACCAGTACCTAACACCGGTTTAACAGTCATTGACATTTATTGTTTATGCTATTTAAGCCAGAAATACGTATTTTTTTATCAAACAATTGTTGCATGTTACTATTATTCTTATTGGCAGAAATAACTTTAGCATTTGTTTTAAGCCGCTGGCGGAGGTAGTGCGGCATGTGGAGCGTGGGTACCGCATGGAAGCACCGGAGGGCTGTCCTTTGGGGCCCTACGAAGTGATGCGCGCCGCGTGGCACCAGGACCCCCAGCAGAGGCCCACCTTCGCTGCCACCAGAGTCCGCTTGGCCGCCATGCGTGACGCCACGCCGCCACCGCCGCAAGGACATCCGCATCCGGTTCGTGCATCTTAATACCCATAGCTGTCGCGCAGCGCTCATGCAGCTGAGGGTTATACCACTTCTTAGAGTTATCGCGTACATGTAAAATGCTAAAACAGTAAACATAATTACTAACAATTTGTTGTTTTTTTGTTCCAGTGAGATGAGGATCGCCGTCTTATGCTCAAAGGACGAAACATCTCAGACTGTAAATTTTACACAAATGTAGGTGAAGTGCTGTGAAGGTTGCGAGGTTATTTTATAATTAATGTAATGTAAGTAATAAATTATTTTGATATATTAAAGACACTTCCTCGCTTAAGAAATAACTCTAATATAAATATAGTTAGCGTGTAAAATCGGTGTGTTAGAGAGAAATTATGTCCGATATTAGTTTAATTTGTGCTATTCGGGGTTTAGCAGTTCGCCGACTGCTAGAAGCCGTGTGCTGAAAGGCCTAAAGTTAACGAATTATTATTGCATATTAAAGATTCAAGCCATTATGGGCGTGGCGATTCGTACGTCGGTACTATGGTACTGTCTAGTCAAAGTTCGTAATATTGTTTGTATATTATTTTCACGTTTATTATAGCGAAAAGTGACTGATGACTGTACAGGTGAATACAATGCACTCCGAATATTAATGGAATACATGAATGCACACGAGCAATGTAATTTAATTTTTTTTTTCTTTATAAACTGCTAAATTGAGAGTTAACTCAATGTTATTCTGAGGCACAAATTTTCCCCCCCAGCCTTAAGGGCGCGTTCCCATTATGTCGTGACGTCAGACAGTCGTTCAGTTTAAAATGTCGTGGCTTGCATATTTAAATGAAGTTGTTCACACATAGAACAATACGATTAAGTGTCTTTCACGACTTTATTGACGTTACGACGACAGACTGTCGTGATAATGGGAAGAGCTAGAACGACAATCGTTCAACGATAAAATTAGCGTCCACGACACAGTCACGACAGATAGTCGTGATATGGGAACAGGCTAGACGCGACGGTCGTCCATCGATAATAAAACGTTGCGACATAACAGGAACGCATATATAAATGAATGTATTTGTTTCATTGAAACATTCCTCCTGTAAAGCGAGGTTTACGTATAGTTGCTTTTCAAGAATAGTGACCCTAACAAGATAATTATTTTTTAACTTCTTACATCAAACACTTGTGTTCAGAATAATAAATTTAAAATCTTTCCATTCGTACAAATAATGTATTCTTCGCCTTTGCTAGATTCGACTCTTTTTTTAAACCATCTTCCTGATGAAATAGGTCTTTTTGAGATAGGTCGCTATTCTAAAAAGACATCCATATCCATATTTGATACTGATGCAGGAGGAAATTACTTACATTCCCTCCGATGACGTTCAGTGCATTTTTATCTAATCAGTTTACAACGTGTCGGTTTGCACTTTATATATTTTTTAACATTGTGTTTAGTTATAAATAGGCGCGGAGGACAGATCTGATGGATTGCTAATTTAAGAATCGCCTTATAATTTGTTATTATTGGCCACACGCCTTTTATAATGTTGAAAATGTTTTGAATTTACGTATATATCAATACTGATATGTACTACATAGTAAAAATACATACATACACATACTATGTACATAGGAATATAGGAATTCATGAAAGTTCATGTGATATTGAAATATGTGATTGAAATATTTCCTAAATTTATGTATGATAATTCGCAGTCCCATTTATTAAGCATGACGAGACCAAAATTAAGAAAACCATAAACAACACCCTGTACATAATTAAATGTGAACAATGCAAACTCTAGCGGTAGCCTTTTCTCTCAATCTGTTAATATGTATAAGCGAGATAGCAAGTGTTTCTCAGTCACAAGTCGCCTTAAAAAACCGTTTTTATACAAAGTGAGGACTTTGTTCGTACTGTACATATATATATTTTTCATTAGGAGCATAGAAATTAAAAGCGAATACTTGCACTGTAAACTTATAATGCACGCACAATTTTGGAATTAAATATTGCTCGTCACACATATATTATTTACCCTTATCATCTACAACGTCTGATTCACGCCAGTTTTTTGTGCTAATTCTACTATACACGTGGCGTTCTTACAATGGAACGACAGCCCACTAACATTATCAATGAGAAACTAGAGGAAAGGATGTTTGTTATTCAATCACTCCGAAGTGGTTCAAAGAATGTAACTGAACAATTATTGTCCAAACAGGAAACAAATAATTATATAATTTATCTCCACTGTGAACACCAACGACGTGTTTATTTCGGTTAAATTATATTATTTATCTACAATAACATATAATTTAATTTAATATCGGCAAGTTGTGATAGTTTGTATTTATGATACGCCATTTATACGGTTATGTTTTATGGTTTTTTTTCTTAAACCTAGTGATGTCCCGCAAGCAATAAGATAATACTGTTATGTGATTAAATAAATGATGTAGTGTGGTTGTTATAGTAGAAGTATCCCCAGAAATTAAGCAAAAGTGTAGCCATTATCGAAAATTTATACGATAAAAAACATTAATAAATGTATAATATCAAATCAATAATTGCAAACACCGTTCATAAGATTACTTACTTATGTTATTTACAAACATATGTTAATTTTGCTGAAAAAAATATTAACAAATTATTCAAGTAACCACAAAATTCTCAAAACATGTATTGGTAAAGTAAAAATTTGATTTGGCACAACTTGCACTCATTGCATACTGATAATGCACATCAGTACGAGTGCGATAGCCTTGTATGCGTCTTATTGTTTCTGTTCCTTCTGATCTCAGGCGGGTATGAATACTACTAAATCCCTATACTATATTAGTAACTAGTACTATACTAGTATTAACGATACTAAATAAAGTGGGTGTGTCACGACTCTTAAAACTATCTGTCAAAAAGGGATGCATCTTGGCACGACTATAGTCGATAGTTTATAGTTAGATTAGAATTCCATCGGAACTGTTCTCTGTATAACAAAGATACAAGTTGCATTTGCCAACTTTCAGGTTGTGTGATAAGTAGCGTTCCCGAACTTTAAAACAGAGTACAATGGAAATTAACTCGACATTCTATTAAAATGTCCAGTTGGTTACCATCGTTATATGTATATCGTCGTCGCCTAACTTTCTCAAACTCATATCTTAAAGAACAAAGTTTTGTAGACTGATTTCACATTACCTCCATATTTACACACTGGCTTTTACCTATTCTTAAAGTAATGCATCCAAATGAACACCCTTGATATTTAAAATAAATAGAAAGTTTTGCTATCTCCTGAATAATCACTATCTACGATACGAGTTTGAGAAAGTAGGCAACAATATGCATATAAAGGGTTCTCAAGTGTATAAAAATTTAATATAGAAGAAAATGTGTATATCGGCATAACAAAAGTAAATCCGAATCTCACTTAGAAATGTTAGACTTAATGTTGTCTTATATACTGGAACGCACCCTAAATATAATTAAATTCATTTATTCGTTTTTATTCTAAAATGAATGCGTTACATTTTCTGTCCTATTACACGAGCATAGAAGGCAACATTACGTTTATTAGTCGAATTCAAAGACTAATCTTATGAAAAGTAATGTCCGTTCATTTATTCTTATGCAATACTAGTTTTAAGTGTTAAATTGTTTTTACGATTTATTTATAACCTATAGTGGAAATTGGTTACAAAATATTCTACCGAGAAAGGTTGTAATTGCAAGTCATTCGTTTTCTACCAAAGCATGTTTCGAAAGAAAATGTGAATCTTCTGGTATTCCCACAGTGTCTTCCTTTGTTTGATTGACGAATTGTTCGCAAGATGACATGTGCGCTAGTCTTTTGGGCTATAGACTGTACCTAAGGACGTAGCTGTTGTGTTTATTTATGTGCACGTGTTTAAAAATTAGAGAATTAAAATCTCAATTTGTTTTTGTTGTCCGTATACTATTATTAATACTTATAAATTTATCGTTGTAAATACATAAGTCACGATATAAAATGTATAGTAAGATATAAATACTACACACCTCAGTATTTGTTTTATTTACGCTGACTAACAAACTAACATGTGTTGAGTATGTTTACGTACATAACATTCTTGAAAAACTTATTCGCAATTTACTACCTACACGGAGTTATTCTTTGGAATATATGGAGTGTATTTTGCTGTGTCCAGTATACATAAGGCACGATAATGTAAATGTGTAGTTTTATTGAAATTGAATACACTATTAGAATCCACAGGACTATTGTCGCCAAAATCCGGTGTTTACAACACCAAACTTCTCCGAAAGTGCCAAATAGCTGCTTTCCCTTCTATGTTAACTTATTCGCAATTTACTACCTATACGGAGTTACTATTTGGGATATATGGAGTGTGTTTTGCTGTATCCAGTATACATGAGGCACGATAATGCAAAGGTGTAGTTTTATTGAAATTGAATACACTATTAGCATCAACAGGACTACTGTTGCCAAAATCCGGTGTTACACAACAGCAAACTTCTCCAAAATTGCCACATAGCTGTTTTCCCGTTTCTCTGGATTGCACTGCTTTAGAGGAATTGCAATCGACTTTAGGTCGAAAATCCGTATTCTCTTTGTTTTCTATGCTCATGGGCTTTGTATTTTTTTCTAGAACTTTACTTGCTTGAGTAGCAATGTGAACTAAATATAACATTTTTGAACACTTGCAAGCAACCATAAGTTTTTTTTCTTTTTTTTCTTTTGTTTTTGAAGACTTTGCTTTTTCTGATCTCTTTAAGTCCTTCTCTATCTCCTTAAAGGTTTTATCTCTGGTTGATGGTTGTATAAGATTAGAGAAACATTCGCAAAAATCTGCATCTGCTATATATATTGGCCCTGTGTTACTTGATTTATTATGGGATAATTGTGCCATCTTATCTAGCGAATCGTGAGGTTTACTACTACAATTCGCTATATTTTTGCCTAGCAGATGTAACGGTTTATCACTTTCAGGTGGTGTATTTTTGACTAGCGATTCATCCGAAGCTGGGTACAAACAGACACAAGTAACGCTGGTTTTATCTATTTTTTTATTATTTTCTTGATGTTTCATTTCTTGGTTTATCGTCATACCACCCGTTATGACCCTGTTTTCTTCATTTTTCTTACCTACGTCGGATTTGAGAAGATTCTTTCTATTACCTTTAATTTCTTCATCAACAGACATTCCATGACTTGTATCCGTTTGTGATACAGATGCCGAAAGATCCGACGACGAATATATACAGCTTTCACAGAATTGACACTCCATTTCTGAGCTAGTATTTATTGAATGTTTACTTGAGCTACTATTGTCAAAATTTTGTTCCCTTGTATCATGTTCTCCAACAGATTTTGATGAGGATAAACTTATATCACTACATGTACAACGGACAAAGTCCGTATTTGATGCACGATTAATTTTTTTGTCTTTACTTGTGTGATTTTTAGTAGTGTGGGTTTTACTATGGCCCTTTCGATTTCTTATGCTTGTGCAACTACATTTACCACTTACCCTCCGTCTACTTTTGACTTTTCTACATTCATTTGTCTTTCTTGTGTCACGTTTTTCTTTCTTACTTCTCGAAGATCTAATTTCAGATTTGGAATCGTCCATTGACATAGAAGTTTGACTGTGCGTGCTGCACTTTTTTGGTTGTGAATGGTGTTTCTTTTCTTTTTTTCTTTTCTTTTTTATGTTAGGCTCGTCTATCGACATAGAAGTTTGACTGTGTGTGCTGCGCTGCTTTTTTGGTTGTGAATGATCTTTCTTTTCTTTTTTTATTTTCTTTTCTGTGCTAGTCTCGTCTATCGACATAGAAGTTTGACTGTGTGAGATGCGTTTCACTTTCGGTTCTGCACAGCGCTTACATATTATGAGATCTTCTTTATAACGATTTTTTGTGTCGCCTTGGGAACTTATTTCTCTATTGCTATTGAATGCGCCTTTGTTGTCACATTTTCGGTTGCAGCAGCTGCAGTTATGCTGACCGCAGTTGCTTGGAATGCAGCTTACCTGCGATCAGAGATCTCTCTACATATTCACACAGAAAGATACGGAATTTCTATACCCTTGCACACCTACACCCTCCTGGATCTGGTCTACACCCAACTGGATTTTAACATCAAACAAGTAGTTCAGTGGCGTTGATATTATATTCTAAGAAATTCCTATTTGTCAAAAATGTAATATAATGCTTCACAATCTTTTATCTGCCACATATTATTGTACATACCGCTTCGGATTGGCATGAGGAGTTCTGTCCAGGTACCACTACCTGAACCCCGGTACACAATTTGGTTGCGTTGTTAAGTTTGGCGAGACGAGGGAAAAAGTAATGGATGTCCGTTGTGGAAGTGGCTCCGTCGCTGTGAAACTAAAAGTCGAAACATTGTAGTACATCTAAGAATGAATATAAATAACGCAAACATTTTATTCGTGAGTACCTTGAAAGGAGTCGGAACTTCAAAGCTGCCACTGTATCCTAAAGTTAACCTTGGGCTAGGTATGCCACTAGGAAATTGGTTTTGGAAATATGTGGGATGCGGAACCCTGTACAAAAAAAACAGCAATTACAAAGATCTTGTATACTACTACTACTAGAGAAACTGCGTTTCGGTTTGGAAGGGTAAGGGTGCTGCTGTAATGACAAGCACATGAGACAATTTATGTCTCATGGTGAACGGGCGCAGTGGCAGTTCCCCTAAGATCTTTACGATTTACAACTCTAAGTGCACTACAACTGTCATGGACTGGAGCATCGCTTATCATCAGGTGCACGTCTTGTTCGTCCCGTCACTTAGTATTAAAAAAATATATACCTATATACAAAGCATTCAAGGATGTTACAGGTACTTGTAAACACTTACGGGTTTGCAACGCTCTTGACAAACCAGCAGCTTGATTTATTTGGGATCGTGATGAAAGGAGCACACCACTTGTTCGTTGGAAGAAAGAATAGTTGTACGTTTCCGTCAGGTAGTACCAATGATACGACTTCACCCTCACCGACCACCTCGGGAGACTGCACGCATTGCGCCGCGAAGGCTGGTGATAAATTTTACAACAGATTTTCATTCCAAAAACAAGCGAGAATTTGAATTCTTTTATGATCCGATATAATTTATAGGCGTCAAATGGATATAATTATAACACTTCCATTCTTTGTTTTTGTTTCAATTTAATTTCTTGAACGAATCTGCTAATCCAGTATAAGAGGATAGATACCGGTTTTGAATAGCTATTACATTAAAAGATAAAGTTAAAGCGTGTCACTATTTAAAAAAATAGAGGCTACTGAAGTATTTGAACAATTACATCTACAATAGATAAATAATAATAATTTGTTATGAACTAACATGTATTTAAAGGAAAGAAAGGTGCGCCGTTATTGAAGCCGGTACCAAAATACGGTTGATTGAACTGCATGGTCGGTGTTTCCTATACCACGTAGGGCCACATTTTAACTTCGTCTATGTAGCGAGGACGGTCATTTTTAATGCTTTTAATGGTAGAGGGAGAAATTTTAGTTAGCAGAATAAGGGCCCATTTTACCAGATTATGGAATGGTCCATAGATAAGATTATTTTACTGGGAATAGTCTAATTCAAATAATTAGAAAAAAATTTACATTTTTGACAAATCTTTGTGTCTCAATCTTTTTTTCCATTCTCTAAGGCTTAGACTATGGAATTTTTTCCATCCTCTAAGAAGGCTTAGACTATTCTTAATTGGCAAAGTGACAAATTAGGAGAGAAGGTTGGCTGCAATAAGTTAATCAATCTTCATTCTGAAAACTATACCTAAACTATATCAAGCTACACGTTGACGGATCTTGTTCCGTTGCACTGGAGGCGATATTTGAACTAAAGTGTATAATTAGGTAGGTACTATTTTGTGGGAATATTGCTTTATTAAAAGTGTATCACGTTCTTCTAAATCCAAGGTGGCACTGGCGCGGCGGGAGAGTACTGCTCTGCGGCCGAACCACCTAAGTAGTTAAAAATTTCGTAAACTATTGAGGTATTATTTATTTTGTTGCATGTCTAGGAAAATAGACTTTAGGTGCTAATTATTTTGTACTACTGTATCCGACTACTTATAGGTGGTCCGGCCACAGAGGATCACACTAGCTTGATGACTGTACATAATATTTATTCCTCGCAGTGAATTATTAAATTATACTGAATTATTATTCTTCTAATTTAGGAGCTACACTCTGGTCTGCGGAGCAATCTTCATTACTTTCTGTTTAGCGCCCTAACTTGTGTTCCTGATACGACTTCTTCCTTTATTTCTAAATAACTACTATAATCCTTTTATTAATTTTGTATAAAAAAAATTTTGACATCTATACAAACTTATAAATGTATCTGCACAATTAAAATTGACTCACGAAGAAAACTTGTAAGCAAAGGACTGAAAAATAAAATACAATTTCACTTAGGTAACGAAGTTATAGCATTTTATTCAAGTGAAGGAAATGTGTCATGTATTTCAATATAAAAATTTTCACATTCGATCGTAAAAAAGAATATATTAATATATATAATAATATATTCTAGAATAGTATTTCGTTTACACAATTCCTAGCTTAATAATTTATTATGATTACTAATAAGCTATAACATATTACACTACATGGTAGTGCTTCTCAAACATTGTACATATACAATTTGTCAACATTTACATTTTCGCCTGATAATACGAGTACACTCACTGTCAACGTATACAATATACAAAAATATCAGTCTATTTTATTTATTAATGCCTCAGTCAGCTGAATTCTAAAGACTAGATCTCGCCTCTCGGTGATGTGTGCATGTGGTGAACCAAGCGTCAACCTGCGGCTGCAGATAAGACGCAGATCTAGTTACTACAAAATGATTTTGGGTCAATATTACTCCTTTCAAGTCAATATTTTTCGCTATACTGCTTATAATCAGTAATTACTTCAAAATAATTACATTAAGATACGTGAGAATAGTCAAGATGATCACCAAAGGCGCAGGAACTAAGTACAGCGTTTCTGATATGAAAATTGACAATGTATTCTGAGTTTGTGCGCTGTACGCTTATTGCAAAAGGGTCTGTGGGGTGGAAGGTGAAAGCGACCAACCGTCTGGCGCTCGCTGGCACCGACTGTCCCAATACACCTGCGTAAATCTTAAACTTCAATAGGCCTGAATCGCGGGCATAAAACCTACAAAAAAAGGCAAAGTATGAATTTTCTATACAAGTAAATAAAATTTTTATTCAGTTTAAGAAATGACATAATACCTACCGAATAGGGTACTCCCCATATGCCTTAGGTCTCTCCATAACAGATACCCATTTGTCGTCATAACTGAACAGTCCTAGGTCCAAATATGGAGATCCACTATAAGACTGTGCGCTTATCGGTAACTGCGCTAATATTCTCTTCGTTGCTTCCGTTCGACCGCCATAGATAGCTCTTACTATTGTTTGTTTGAACCTTTGCTGTGTCAATCTTGCATACAAATTGTTTGAAGGAGAACAAGTAAACTGAGAATCAGCGCATAGTCGTGCGTTTCTAAAACAGTCACAATAGTTCTCAAAAAGCTGCAGTAGACCTTCAGATGTATTTTCATACACTTCCAGTATCTTGCTTTCACTTATGTTGTATATAACAAAGAAAGAAGACTGGCTGTTAGGCTCTTGTACCCTTAGCGTTACAACCTCCTCACTAGCGTACTTGATAAAAAGATGATCTTCATCTAAAAGCTGCATTTTCCACATCCGTAAACTTTTGAACATATCAAAGTATTTGTAAAACTTTCTAAGTTCCAATGGATCGCCCGTTTCATCACTAATAGCTTTTGCCCTTTTAAAGAGGAATACTAGAAGCCTATGTTTTAAGCTATTTATTGTCTCTTCATGGAAAGGCCTTTCATTGACTAGAGGTGCAAAAACAGAGTTGACAATGAATGGATCATCATCATAACAAAACCTGCCTATTTTTCTTATTTCTATCAACATTCCTTCTACAATTTGGAATAAATGTATTGTTTGGTGCTGCACTGACAACACAGCCAACACTTCTTTGTACAAGTAAATTCCTTGATTGTGTGAGAGGTAGATTTTATCTATTCTGAAATGTTTTGTATCACATAGCTTTCCATGATGCAAATCCACTAAATGGAGGGAATAATCTTCGAGTGCAGATCTGCAAACAGCAATTAGAATGTAAGGGTCAACAATATGGAACATTAATTATTACTTAAAAATGGTGCATATCGGTAAATTAAGGTTCACATTGTACCACTACAAGGGTTCCCCACTGGTAAAGTTTGGCTATCAACTTTGTCAATTTTTTCAACATCTTGCCAAGCATTATTGCTATTGCACCTACTTTGATATTCTCGAGTCACAATTTCATCCACAGGAAGCATGACGAATCGTGCCAATATATCTTCACATAGTGAATATATGCTTGATGTCTACTGCAGAGAGCATCAAAACTAAATAAACTTTTCCAAGCATACCTAAGTGCGTTTCAAAGAATTTAAAGCGCATTGTCAAGTATTGCTTATGTATGGGGAGTACTACACTAAGAATCAATTCTTAACACACCTTTAATTTAAGAGCACACTTATAATTCATTTTGATTAAAAATTAAATTTGATAATTAACCTTAAATAGTATTAAATATTGCTTAATATAAAAAATATGTATACCTAATAGTTGGTGTCACAGCCTCGTTATTGCTATGAATATGATAGAAGTGTGGTCTCAAGTCATCAGGTATGTGTGCAGCTGACCCGACAATAACATAACGGCCATCTTCTGTAAATAAGCTGCATTCTCTATTGAGTTGTTGCTCCATGAAGGGGTGCTGGGGATTTCGCATTTGCTGCACTTCTCTTTGTTGGCACACATTTACTGTATATTTTGGCTGGAATACATAAAAATAATGAAAATTGGAAGTCGCTGCAGTGGCGCGACTGCGGCGCGGCAGCCGCATGTCTGTAACGCTTTAGTACTTTTGAGTTCACTAATTGTGACTGCAAATATGGCGCGCGCGTTTCACGACAGTGGCGGTACAACTGCGCTTCTAAATGCAGCGCCACTATGGCGCCACTGTAGCACTTCTTTATGCATCTAATTTGGAGGCGTCCTAAGACTTAGAGACTGAAATAATAAATGTTTCAATTTGTAATGTTGACATTGAGTCTTATTTAATATAAAGTATGTGCTTGAATCTCAGAATAATCTTAAATACGACACAACCATCGATTTTTGTAATAGTAAAAAATTAGGAATTTATACCTTGAAAAATCTGTAAAAAATATGTGTCCTTATCCTATGGTGGGCATCTGCATCAGCATTAAGTAAGTCTGAAGGATAGCCAGCCACAAGGTCACCTGCAGCTGCTGCTCCCCTGTACTCATAAATCTGTAAATGTTTGTATCACAGATTCAGTAAAAAATATTCACGATTTTCACTTTTAGGTGGTTTTTTGTAGCTCTTTAATTATTTATTTTTTGACAATAGTACCAATTTATCACGCCCAAACAAGGAAATTCCCTCTGAGGCACTGCCCAGAACTGTCATACCAAAATCAATTTAGAAAAGTTAATTTCCCAAAATAATCCTACCGGGAATTGAACCCGGGCACTTCTCACCAATACCCATAGGGCAAACTATTGAGCCATTGAGGTCGTTAAATTATTTACCAGCAGACGCTGTTAGAAGAGTTTAGACTATAGTTGCCCAAAGTGGTCCCTACCGCCCCAGTGGGCGCTGAAGAGTCCTAGGGCTGGGCAGCCCTAGGACTCCCTGCGGTGGGCACCGCATTTGAATAAAAAACTTGAATTGTCTTTAGAAACTACACTACTTGTACGTATATATATTTGTTTTCCTTCTCATTTTTAGTATTATGTTAATATAAAAAATACATTTTTTCAATAATTTTTTGTAGTGGTGGGTGTTGAAACTTTTTTATCTTGCCTAAATGAGTAGTAAGACAAAAAGATTGGGAACCTATGGTATAGTATACTGCCCCCAGAACAAAAAAAGGCACGACTGCTGTATAAAGCACGCGTAGTTGTGCCTTTTTTCGTTACGAGGACAGTATACTATGACCATAGTCCATTATACATATTGTCCCTCTCGAGTTTGGGGCCTTAAATTGAAACGTTTTTTAGTAGAAACCTTTTCAATTATCAATCAGAATTGTTATTATTTTATTCCGGACATAGAATGTTTTTCATAGTTCTGAAAATCAATTAGGTATAATGGTAATTATTTGATTTTTTTATTCCTTATAATTCAAAGTAATTTTAAAAGATATAACACCCAATTAAATATAATTTTCACTTGGACCAAATACAGTTCCTATAAGCAATTTCATATAATTCTCGTTGGTAATAATATTCACATTTTATATAAAGCCATTTTTATATAACTATTATTTTATATATTGGCAATTGAGATAATTTTACGTGCTCCTATAATGTGGTCCTTTAGTAGGTTAGCAGTCCCACATAACTCCGACTCTGCCCCCGCGGGGCCGGGGTATCTGTAAGCAGATTCCCCCGGATTAACAAAAAAAAAAAGGTTAATGTCTTAGAATAATAACGCATAGAATGATAGTTTCATATCAAACGAACTGTCACAAGTGAGGCAAAAACCAAATTCATGTAGGCGTAAGCAACTTGTAACTACGCTCGTCGGCACGCACACAAATATACAAATAATGATGCCATGGAATAACATTTCCCTCAAAAGTGGGGAAATTGTATCTTGCTTAACTCATCATTAAGTTAAAGGTGCCTACAGATTTGCCCGACATTGTCGATCAGGTGCCTACAGATGTGCTCGGTTTTGTCGATGAAAAACGAATATAGCACTTATTTGTAAATCCAAGATGGCGGACACGATTTTT